ACTTCCTCATCTAAGATATCAAACTTATCATTTGTTAACTATAATATAATTATAAAGTTATTAGAATTATTTTTATAAATAGAAAAGAAAAAATAAAGACTTGCCTGCAAGAATCTTTCGATTCTACAACTAGAATGTTCAGGTCCTGCACCATCATATCCATGTGGTAAAAGCATCACAAGTCCGGATTGTCTCAACCATTTTACTAAAATAAACCAAAAATTACTGACATTTAACAATAAATTTAGGAGTTTTCAAAAACATACCTTCACCACTAGCAACATAAGTATCAATAACAACTTGAGCTCCATTAAAAAAGTCTCCAAATTGTGCTTCCCAAATAGTAAGATTGCTTGGAGATTCATAAGACATTCCATACTCGAATCCTACAACTGCTAATTCACTTAGAGGGCTATTTACGATCTATTAATTAAAAAATTAGCACAGGCTTATGTAAATTCATTCTAAATCAAGCAATTAAAATGAGCATTCTTCTAAATTATTACCTCAAGCATTCCTTGATCAGATGACAAATTATTCAAAGGCACAACAACTCTTTCTGTATCTTGACATACAATCATTGCATGACGTTGACTAAACGTTCCTCGACCAACATCCTGACCACATAATCTTACATTATGACCTTCTATCATTAATGATCCAAGCGCCAATGCCTTTTTCGAAGTTAATAATTAAAAAAAAAATTATTACATAATTCCTAAAAGAGGAATAAAGCTTATTCAAACCTCTGCAGTAGCCCAATCAATATTTTTTCCTTCGGAAAGTTTTTGTAATCTTGCTTGTATATGAAATTTTTTTAATCTTGGATGAACTGCCTGTTAATTAATACGTAAATTTTATTTAGTGCAATTATAAATAAATATTTGAATAGAAAATAAAACATACAATCTCATGCGGTATATGAACAGATGTCTTTCCAACTTTTTCTATAATTTCTTTCGAAACTCCTATATATATAATAATTTTACATTATGCTATTCGAATATTTTTCTTTTAAAATAATATAATTATATACCTGTGTCCATTTTAGTAACAGTTTCAGTTGGCATTATAAATCCATTCCATTTCCTTTTTAACATATCTGCCTATATGTTATACCCAAAAACTAAATTTAACTACTTTTATCATATTTAAAAAACCATCAAGTAATTTTACCTCGGGTTTATTTGTATCACTCTTTTTATAATGTTCTTCTAAAATGTTAAAATAATTCTTCCTAAATTCTAAAATGTCACTCTCTGAGAGAATTGACTCTTCTGTCTACATTATTTCATCAAAATTCATTTACTTAATATTGATAAAGATACTTTAATCCAGATTACTATATGGATAAAAATAATATATTACCAATAATTTATCTTCATACAACTTTGGCACACTCTTTCTTGACCTTATAATATTATACATCAGTGGTTGAGTAAATGCGGGTTCATCAAGTTCATTATGACCCCATCGGCGATAACTTATCAAATCCATTATAACATCCTAATTTAAGTAAAACATCAATAAAAAAAAAATTTTTTTTAAATAAAAATAAATGAATTAATTAAATTTTTTCAAAATACTTTTCGAAACTTATTTCTATACTCAAATGCCACTTCAATAGCTCGGGTCACTTCCTACAAATAAAAAGACATACATCACAATTTCTTTGACCACTTCATAAATAATATCATAATTTACCTCAGGAAAATCACCATTAACATGAATTACAGGGGCATTAATCATTTTTTCCAATGTCACTACAATACCAACTACTTCTAGCATTTTGCGCAGGAGTTGTATAACCTAATTGATTATTCACTACAATATGTATTGATCCACCCGATGAAAAATGTGGCAAATTTGATAATCCAAAACTTTCCATTATAACACCTTGTCCTGTAAATGCCTATAAATTTTTCCTTTCAATAAAAAAATACAAGTTAAAAAAAATAAATAATAAATATAATTTGAATTACCGCATCACCATGTAATTGTATACACATAACACGATCTCCAAGTTCGCAATCCGTTTCATATTTTATAAGGTCCATTTGTTTTGCCCGTGCCTTTCCCATTGCTACTGGATTTACTGCCTATTTACATAAAAAAAATAGGTTTACTTTGCACACGATAGAATCATAAACGTTGATATTTATAACTAGCATTTCATGGATTCAGCTAACAATAACGACCCGACGTAGTGTAAAGACCGAAGTTGTAGAGAGTAGAATATCTAAACTATCTTTTATCGAGCATAAAAAAAAAAAAAAAATCATATACCTCAAGATGAGAAGGATTGTGTAGCAATGATATAGTAATAGGCTTTGCATCACTATATTCCAATGTTGGTGAAATTGCTATAAAATTCCATAAATTTAAATTAATATTACAACAAAAAAAAAAAAGCGATAATAAATTTAATGCATACCAAGATGTGACAGAACATCGCCAGTAGCAGGTAACTCTTCAGGAAACTCGGCATTTCCTTTAATTTTATGAAATAATCTCGATGGTGAAAAGTGTAACAAATCTGTTAACAGATTTAAACGGCCTCTATGTGGCATACATAAAACTGCTTCAACAATTCCAGCTAATAAGAAATTCCCAAATACATATAAAAAAACATTTAAAATTTGATCAAGATTAATTTCCACCGAGAAAGGTTAAAATATAGAAAATTTACATTTATTGGACACCTCGAATAATTTGTCTAAAGCCACAATCATTGATTCAGCACCCTCTAAACCATATCGTTTAACTTGAGGAAATTTCTTTGCCATAAAATGATCGAATACCTATTCAAAAACAATTAAATGGAAATAGGTTTAATTTTCAAATATTTATAGTGAATTTTAGATAGCTTTTTTAATACCTCTGATCTAGTCAATATTTCGAAAATTCTTTTCTTTTGTTCAGAGGTCAGCAATACAGCATTAAATGATTCTATCATGTGATAAAACCATCGCCTTTCACTTGCATTCTACAAAATATTATTAATTATATTAATAGTATTGCGTTCTTTAAATAAAAAGACAATAAATACACGTACTCACTGGGATATGCATAAATTCATAAGCAACTTTCCCGCAATAAACTTTTTTTAAATGTGAAATAATACTTCCAAGTTTTGCCTCAACCTTTGAGATCGTTGATGTTTTTGATTCATTTACATGTAATATTCCTAATAAATATAAATATATTAAATTAATAAGTATTCTATTACAATTTGCTATTAAAACTAGAGGGGTATATACATGTGTGCCTAAATTGCCCATCTTAATAAAAAAGTAATTACGACATTTAGGCAGCCGAAATTAGTCTTATATAGTGCCGAAATTAATTTTCATATATGCCGAAATTATTGCCGAAATTTTTTGAACTCTTTTCATCAA